CCTGCTCCAGCCCCTCAATGTCCTTCTTGTGGTGAGGGGCCCAAAACTGACCCCAGGATTCAAGGTGCGGCCTCACCAGTGCTGAGTCCAGGGGCACAATCGCTCAGCATGCACCCAGATATAAAAAACATCTGACATTCATTGCATTCATGTTTTTACACCATTACAGACATTTTTACTACTGTGGATTTCTTGCCTGCACGTTATCAAGCATCCAGGACATAGATATTTCCAAACGCTCAACACCTCTGTGTTAAAATCCGCCCCTCGCACGCCCAACAGTCCCGAATGCCCGGTGTGAGTCTGCCATCAGCCTTAACGTGTTAAATTGACATTATTGCACATTACCTCAGTCCTCTCCTCAAACGACACTAAACTAAGCCACTCATTCCCAGTGACCCACTTTCCACAGAAAACGGAGCCAAGCCTCTGCCAGGCTGTTTAGATAATGAATGCACCTGAACAGCTTCGCACATCAGCGCCCAAGAACTTCTGCAAATTTGTCCAAAAGATGCTGGGAAGATGTTAAGACAACCTTGTTGGATTGACAAGTCCTGCCCAAGCTAATCATGAACAAGCCCCCAGGTTTGTGACCTTTTATTTCTGACCAAAGAGACTACGACGTGAGGAGAAGACAAAACGGAGAGGTGGAAGGCAGCAACGCTACTTTCCTTTGCAATTCCCATCATCTCCCTCATCACCACTTGAAAAACCATCTCCAGCATCCTCACCCCTTTTTCACCAACAGCAACACTGTGGGCGTACGCTGAAATCCATATGGACACAAGGAAACGGGTCTGGGAAGGCATTGCTTGATGTATGGCACTGATTTTAGCCAAAAATTTAAAAGCAAAAAAAACTGAGCATCCCCATCTAAGTTTCTGTTAAGCTCTGCTGCTATCCTGAGCCTCCCAGCCTCACTGAAAAGTTCAGGCAAATTCTCAGATGCTGACAATGAAGTAATAAAGATCGTGTCAAAATTCCAGATTTTAAACTCTACCAGCCACCGACGCTAAGCAGACAGCAGAAATGCCCAGCCACACAGAAGTATAAAGTCAAGAGAGGCTTCCTGATCAGAATTAACTCAATTTTGACAGAGGGAGAAGCTAAACCTTGATCTGATTGTAATCCTTCTACAAAAAAAAATGTCCTCTCAGTTGAGCTCACCACTTCTCGCTACTGTATCGGCTTGCCTCATCTTCAGTCGTAATTCTGCTTGAAAAAGCAACACGACTGTCATTTCCCAAGCATTTTAAAACTAGTCAGACGTAAGCACTTTGGCTTGGAAGAATGAAATGGAGGAGAAAAAAAGCCGCAGACTTTCACAGCTATCTCCCATCATATCCTCATGGTCAGCATTATTGTTCTTTGCCGTTCCAATTGGATAAGAGCTGCCAACCTTCTTTGCTTTATTACTTTTCAAAAGGCTTTTCGTTCACTCACTATAGCACTAGACTATTCATTACCAATTTTTTGCATCTTGGAGATGATCAATCAAGAATCAATCTCATCTTCCTCTGGAAGCCTTAAAAGGTTTAGTACTATATTTGAATCCCCAAGCGCTTCGTAGCCTCGATGCTTTGCCTTTAACAAACTTCCCGTCTCAATCACTTTTGGGTATGGAAGATTCTGACTCTCCCTTTTCTGAGCTTTATCGTTAAAATTACTTCTACTCTCAAAACATTCAATAATCAGTGAGCTTTCAAAGGTTGGTTAAGAGATGTCAGCTTCAACTTTATGAAGGAAAACAGCTTTGCGACTTCTGGGGAAGAAAAAAAAAACCTAAAAAAAGGCTTACTGGATAGCCACCTAATAGCGTTGCAAAATATTCAAATATCATCTACAATTTGCTTTCAGAAGCGTACTGGTATGTTGTCAATGCATAAAGCAATGAGATGGTAAACTCTGCTCCTCTCTGGCATGTCACTTCACAGCTACATCTGTCCCTATGAGCTCTGGAGGGGAAAAAATCTGTTAAACCTCTCGTCCCTCCAACACACCTTCCTAAAAAAAAGGTGATAACATTGGTGGTAAAGAATGGAGCAAATTAGCTTACCTACCCTTCCAGGACACTTTTTTTTGCTTATATTCTGCAGAATATTCACGTTGACCCAGTTCTTGATAAAGAAAGTTTGAGGGGAAAAAAAAAATCCCTCCCAGCAGTTTTAAGGATGGATATGCAGAGGTTGGGACAATCCCACCAGATCGTGCCTACATTAGGTTGCTCACTTGGCAACTTTCCTCTGATAGAAAGAATCACACAGTGGTTTGGGCTGAAAGGGATCTTGAAGATCATCTCATTCCACCCCCTGCCATGGGCAGGGACACCTCCCACTAGCCCAGGTTGCTCAAAGCCTCATCCAGCCTGGCCTTGAACCCCTCCAGGGATGGGGCATCCACAGCTGCTCTGGGCACCCTGGGCCACTGCCTCACCCCCCGCACAGGAAAACATTTCTTCCTCACATCTCATCTCCATCTCCCCTCTTGCAGCTTCAACCCCTTCCCCCTCGTCCGAGCTGCTCCAGCCCTCGGACCATCTCCATGGCTCCTCTGGACTCAAAATGCACCATTTCATAAAGCTCTTTGCGATGTTATGAGCTTTGAGATCCTAGGTGGAAACAACATTACAAAAAAAATTGTTTTAAACTGTGGCATTGCTACTTACTTGTACAATATGTAGAAAGTGAGGGATTCAGTTTATAGAGGGGAGGGGGTGGAGAGTCTTAAAAAAACCTCAGCTGATGGGAACCAACTGGAATGACTGCACTTAAACCAAGCTGCTGACAGAAAGGCTCAGTGTTTAAAATAGAATAATCCTTTCTTTACATTAAGACCACAAATAAAATTATGCCTTTAGCGGTATTTCTCCCCTAAATTATTTGACTAAAAAAAGGAATTTGGCAACTTAGAAAATCAACTTACTTTCTTATTAACCTTCTGCTTATCAGTCACAGCATATGTGAACAAATCCAATTAGGGAAACTTCATGATGGTTAGAAAGCAGCCTTCTACGCAGAGACTAACTGCTTCGCAGCGCCTTCAGGATCCACGCCAGCAGCCTTATCTCGCTGAAAAACGTCTCAGGCAGTTGCACATATATATATATAATTATAATATAGTGGACGTATACACACATCTATGTCTAAATATTTGTGCAGGCGTGTGTACGTATAAAAACACATGTACGGGTGAGCATCCAGGACTTTTTCCCAAGGCAGGAGTTAAACGCAGCCATCTGAAACACGACGAGCCACACAAAGTCTCATTCAGTATTCAACCCTGCAATCTCCTTCCTGATTAAACTCTGAAAAAACCCCTCAACTCTCACCATTAGTTTCAACTCATTTGCCAAACTGTGCCTTTCCTACTACTCCAGCCAATAAATCCCCAACAGATCAGTGTCACAAACAACTGTGGGCATTAAATATTTTCCACTGTAACACTCTTGCACCAATATGGAAAGGACAGGAGGATCACTGGCCAGATGGAAAAGCCAAGCACGAAACCTGCCCCCCAACGCAAAGCAAACAAAAACATTTCCCTAATTCTCATTCTCCGAGGAGAGCAGCGCAACTCAAAGAATAATTCTTGCCCATCAGATAGACAAAAATCAAGACAGGAGAAAGAGCCAAGCTGCTAGATGCAGCCAGCGCTGTGAAAAAAGGGTTACTTGGGGGGCCACGGTCCTTTAGCTACTGCCGTGAGAAAGTTTTTCTGCCAAAGACCAGATTCAGCCTGTGGGTCTTTGAGAGCAAACGTGAAGTGTGCCAGGTACCGCTGTAAGAAGGTCTTCAGGGCTCTCCCTCCCCTCTCTTTCTACGAGACAGCAAAATGAACCCTGACATATTCTGGGCATGAAATCCACAGGCTAACAATACGATTCCCTGAAATATAGACTGGCAAGATGGAGAATGAATCTCAAAGTCTTTCAAAGCTTATTCAGGGCTGACAAATAAAATGAAGCAAAGACTACGATTCTCCGCATTAAATGAAGCAAGTTATCTACTTCTCTCCTCAGTTTTAAGGCTCCCCTGGCAACCAGCCTTTGCTGAAACTTGCAGGATCCAAAAGCCTTTTTTTCCCCTCCTCTATTGGATCAATTTAACCCCAGAATAACACAATCACAATTTTTACTCTAATATCATCCACTCATTTTTCCTTCACTAGCTCTACCTTAACAGCACACAACAGCTGTACATTACAATCTCGTTTGCCATTTTACTAGAAGAGGTGAGGCTTGCCCCAGCAGCTCATCAGATGGGTCTGTGGGGAAAAGAAACGCCAGAGAAGTTATAAAATGAAAGCCTGCCGTGTCCAGGTTTCAGCTAGCATGCACACAGGCTGCAAATCCTCTGTACAGATGCAGCAGCTCCATGGATCCACCTTGGAGCCTCTAAACCCAACCACAGGTCACTCACTCCCACCTCAGCCCCCAGACTGTGTCACCCGAGGTGCCATCGTCTCAGCTGTCCCCTTTCATGCCACAGGAGAATGGAAAAAAAAAAAACAAACCCGTCAGCAGCATGTTCCCCTCTATTTTTTTTAATTTTTTTTTCTTTGTTGGTAGAAGATCCTGGCATTGAAATACGTGCTTCTGGAGTTTCACGATGAAGCCAAGCGCTCAGGATTTGGAGGATCACTACAGCGAGCACAGAGATGAAGGCAGCGCCCTTTCCTCTTCTCAGCGCTGCCTTCCAGCGGAAAAGGATGAACAGGAAGCTAAAAGCAGCACACAAGGTCAAAAGTACCTTGGCTTCCCACCGGCAGCTAGAAAACAAGCACCAAGGAGGTGAAAAAGCCTTTGCCACTACTGTCCCCAAGCAGGAGAAGAAATTAAGCTTCTTCCGTATCCTTAATGGGGCGACCACTGATTCTGAAACCTTGGGGACAGCATCCCTGGGAGAAATCTAACGTTTGGGCCCATACAAAGAGCACCAAGATTCACCACCTGCGAGGTGACAGCTCACTCTGGAACCGGTAACATCACGATGTCTACATCCAACACTGCACAGAAGCCAAAACCTTCATGAGAAGGGGATGGAAATTTGAAGAAGCCACCAATGGAGGACTGAGGGTTCGATTTCACCCCAAATCTCCTTCTGCGTTCATGAAGCTGTGCCATTCCCTACCTTAAACCCAGGGCACAGCGTTTAGATCCAGGAGACGGATTTTGTGCTGGAACACAGGACAGGGGAAACAACAGCGCTTTGTCATGTTTTCTGAACTGCTCCAGGCTTGCCAGCTGAAGCAATGACAACCTGAGAAGCTTTAATACTGGGAGGCGAGAGTTTTGTGTGGAAGAAAAAAGAAAAAAAACCAGAACAGTTCATATTCCCTAATCTACAAATTTCCGTGATAACGCAGTATCAAAGCTGCCTGGTAATCGCTAAATCTGACCCTAGACAAACTAAGGACTCTTCACTAGTCTAAGATTCATCATTACATTAATATTCATATCCAGCACCAGGTGATGTTAATTTTTACACCAATGTGTTTCATTATATGTAGTCAAAATATCGACTTTGTCTCTAAAATAATTTGACACTTGAATTAAAAATCCTGTGTGAAAATTATCTCAGATGGTAATTGTTCTGCGTAATCAGAATATATTACGGATAGAAGCTATCAGTTATGGGAAGGTCAAATTTGCATTTAGCTTAGTAAAGAAAGATTTTATACAGGTTATGGGAAGGGTATTCCTTCTGCAGCAGTACCCATATGCTTTCCCACTTCATTGGGGAAGAATTTATTGACAAGTTGGTAAAATAAATTCATACCATTCGATGGAGAAGCTGTCAAGAAAACAGAGACCTAGATAACTAGTTGTATTAAAAGTCTTATCCTTTGAGAATTGTTTCAACAACTACTTATTAAACTAATAAAAAAACGAGAGTTTCAAAGATTCGGCAGTATAGAACAGCTTTGAAGTTCCCGAAAATCCCAGTCCACGTCTGCAACTCAAGGATCAAAACTCAGAAGAAAAATCCATTTTTATTTATTTTTGAATAACCGCTCTGCCTTTTGTTTTGTTATTTTACAGAGAGTGAAGTCACTTGAAATCTGTTCTCTTGTCCAATTCTGACAAGACTTCACACTACAAGCAGCACCCACTCGGATTACGATGCAGTGATATGTAACAGCCCCAGGTTTTTTTAGATATTACTGTTTATTGATGTTAGTGAAGGACTAGAATTGTCTGTGAATGCCCAATCTTCCATTTGAGACAGAGGGAACTAGCCCCCAAGTTCTCACCACCACTTTTTATTACCAAACCTATTTTCCTCCATAAGCAGTCTTACAGCACGTAACCTGGCAATTAAAATCAGAGGCATAATTTGTCTAGAGCTCCATTACACAACTAAGAATTTTCTCTAGAGAGCGTGCAAGTGAGGCTACAGCTACAGAAATGGCTTTATGCTCTGATAGTCTCATTAGTACAATCCCTGAACGGCTTCAGCATAAAATACAAAAAGACAAAGTTTGTGCCTATGGAGCTACCACCCCTCCCGGTGAAGGCTGTGGTAGCTTTACAAAGCGAATGTTTTATTAAACTACAGTATTTTATGCCAGAATGGACTACAGGCGTACCGTACAAGATTCTCCCTACTTAGATCTCAAATCATCAGGGCTCCAACTGGCCCCAAAAGCCACAAGCTACCTTACAGGGTTGGACACAGACTTCTGGAAATGTGCCAGCTGCATAGCAATCCTCTCAAGGAAAGAGTCCAGGGCTTCATCATCATCATCCCTCTCAGTGAGGCAGCTGCTCTCAAGCACACACCCTTCTACTCTAAGTAAACATGAAGGATTCCAGCCCGGAATCCAAGCCCTAATTACAAGCCAGCCTCTGTGCTGTGGCAGGATAATGGGTGGAACCTGGAAGCAAACACTTTTCTGTTTGCTGATGCACTGAAACACAGCACATCAATTCCATTATCTAGGAAATAATTTTGCTACTTATACACAAAGACATTTTAAGAACAAAGCCTTTAGTCCTGTCTGTAATGTACAAAGTAATTTATAACCTTGTTTTAGCAACTCCTCATGCAATTCTTCATCCAAACTATCTGTGCAACTATATATAAGTATATCAAATATACACGTGATGTATGTGTGCACACATTTTCTCTACAAAGAGACCCAAGAACGAACATCTTCCACATCCTCCACTGCTGCTTTTCCTCCTACTGTAAGACCAGCTGCCAAATGCTTTAGCAGTCATGGCTCCAGATGAGAAATTGCCAGATCAATGAAAAAGCAGCATCCCGTGATGCACTGAGTCAGGAGGGATGTACGGCTCTAGCTCTCTATTCATCATCTGCTAGGAAGCATATTTGCTTACATAACTAATAAGCTCAAACAAAATCTCTTCCATGTAAACACCAGATCAGTTCCGCAGTGTTTACTACTTTCACCAGTTTGCCGAGTGATTTATCTTCATTAACACAAGTGCTAAAACTTCATCTTGCAGGTCAGAATTTAAAGAGCTGCAGCTCGTCTCACAACATAAAACCTCATTTCGTTGCAGTCGCACCAGCTCAAAAGACATTTCACTGCTTTCCCCAGTTCAAAAGAAACTCATCATCTACCAGAAATAAGTAGTTTTGGCTGTGCAAGAACATTTGCTCACACTTGCAGTGCTTTGCAGAGTGGGAATACCAGTTTACGCTGCCTCACTGTACAGCGGAAGTGTTTTAAGCAATGACATTCCTCCTTGGTTTGTTTGCCCACATTAATTCGCTGAATTGATATCAGAAACAGTCCTCACACCTGTGTTTCCCCAACTTGTTGGCTCGTCCCTTAATCCCTCCCATCTAAACACCAGATCTGCATTATCAAAAATCCAGGGAGGTATGACTCCGTATCCACACGGCTTCTTCCACAATTCCTCTTTCCTAAGGGGAAAGAATTTCCAAGTCATTTGCTGCCAGGTCAGACATCCTTCTGAACCTCAGCCAACAATTCAACTCTGAGATGTTGCTTGTTGTGTAGGGGCTAAAAATATCCCTCCGACACCCTTTACAAAGGCTTCCCGATGTCCAGGGTAGTCCAAATTCCACAACAGGGCATAACAGAGGTGGTCTCAGGGATGGTTACTCACCTGTTTTACATTGTATCCTGCTTTTGCACTAGTTTCAATGAACATTACATTCAGCTCTTTGGCTTTTCTTTCTCCTTCCTCAATGGACACTTGCCTGGGGAAGATAACACAGAATTAGGAAAAAAAAAAACCCACACACCTTGAAAATTAAGATTTCCATCTCCAACTTAAGGATGTGACTGCTTCATGAGAGTTCTGAAAGTATTCCATGTTTTTTTCCCCACGTACTGAGCACAGTTGTAGACAGGTATCACCACTTCATCATATCAGACGGACTTCTACGGCACACCTGGCTCCCACAGTAGAACTCAGCTTCCCAGTGGAACAGCTAAATGGGTCAACTGGACTCCTCCAAAGCCCTGTCCAGCCAGCTCTGCTCTTACATCTGAACAATTACCAATCGATAGATTGTAATATCCAATAACAACTGCCAACTTGCAGCCTTCTGCGCTGTTTTAACAAAGGACCAAGCAGAACCAGCTCACAATAAATTCAGTTTGTCCTGTTTTTCCGTGGCTGGGCGTCCCTCCCGTTAAGCAGTCTACTACAGCAAAAACTGGGGAAAACTTTGTTCAAGAACTGCCAGACAAAAATCGTGAGGTATATGAGGGGCATATGTGTTCATAAACAATTCTTAATAGGATATTATAAATCTGAAGTAAGGATCCCAAGTGAAGCTATTCTGAGCAAACTAGGATTTCCATCAGATCCAGAATACTTCCATCCCATGCTTTTGTTTTGCCTTTTTTGACTTTTTACTCATCTAGGAATACCATAAACCCAGAATAAGCAGAGTAAGCTGAAGATACACAACTTCTAATAAAAATATTTAAGTTTGCCAACGTATGAAAACCCCAAAGAGTTTTAAAAAGGAGGATTACTTCCACCTATCCTCTTTATCCAAGTAAATCTATTAAGCATGAATATTTGTAATTACTTTAGCTTATTCATCCATTGATGCAGGTTGTAGAGAACACTCCATTCCCTCTTGACATCTAACAAGCTGGTGACAGTTTCTCAACTCATTCACAGCGTTGTGCTGGAAACTTGTGCTTAACCAAATGAGAGAAGTTTTAAAATGGAAATTTCTCTACTCACAGCCATCCCCAGCATAGTTAAAACCAGCTTGAGCACTTTGGGAAAAAAAAACTACAAATGTTCTTTTAAAAATAGTTGTCTAGGAGAAAAGAGCAGCAGATTAAGAAAAGCATTTGAAAGATGAGTTATTCCTCCATACCTCTTATCTGCTAGATCTGTTTTATTTCCCACCAGCATAATGATGACATCGCTGCCCCGTTCCGTTCTGACATCATCGATCCATTTTGTTGTTTGCTGGAACGAGTTTACATCTACCAGAGAACAGCGGAGAGGATTATCACTGCAGGTATTCTTCACAGCTCACTAGTAAATACATCTGTCGAGTCTCAAATAAAAGCTTCGTATTCTCTGGAATTGGCGTAACAGGGTGATGAAGAATCAGCAAGTGAAACCCTGAGTTTCCCACAATGGAATCTATGAAAACTTTTTCACTAATTTCACTGATTTCAAATAGGCTGGTACCTCCTTACAGGTGAATCCAAAGCCAGGGAGTGAGCTGAGTTGATCTATCATTTGGTTTTGACAGCATCTAAAACAAGAAGTCTTATCACTGTGTTTTAGACCAGTTCCCTTTTTTCTTTAGTTCAACATAAAAATATTTTCTAGCGAGAACAAGGATTAATGTGATATTGCATTCTACACTGCCCGTGACTTGTGCAGTTCCATTGCTTCTCAAAAGTACTTGATACCAGCTACACATTTTGTACAGCTTAATCCCTTTTTAAGTGCCAGGTTCAGGATTTTCTCTAGGAATTATCAGGGTTATACAACCTACTAGCAACTCCTGTATCACTGAACATCAAGCTCCAAATAATTTCTAAATCATTTGCATAGAACCAGAAATACAAATTTTGCCTATCCACAGACACTTTTTCTTAATGAAATGTCCTTAAAAGCCGCAAGATAACATTTTTAGGAAGCTATCCTGATCTGGATATGTTCAAAAAGTTGCATCCCATAAGGAAAAATAAGTCGTACAGAAGCTGCGACGGAGCTCAGCATTTCCCAGTGAGCTACACAAAGAGCATCTCAGTTGCCGAAGTAGTTTTCAGAAGTTAAAAAGGGAGGGCTCTGCAGCAGTTCTTCAGCAGTATTGATTTTTTTAATGGCTTCTACTGCATAGTAATATATCGTGTGCTAGACAGTCAAGACTTGATCACTTGTCAATGTCTTAATTCTCCTCTTTACTACCTGGTAATATTGGATTTGCTAGGTCAGTAAAAAAAAATTCAAAGTTCACTGCTAACCTGTAATTTTAGCTCAAATGAAAGTGCTATTTTTAACAATTAAAGCTTTTATAGGTAAAGCCTGTATTCC